ATTGATTGTGTTAACGATTTTGCTATCGATATTATTATCGCTTTTGTTATCGATATTTTTATCGATTTTGTTATCGATATTTTTATCGATTTTGATATCGATATTTTCATCGATCTTTTTATCGATTTTTTTTGCCTGCAGAGCAAGACGAAGGCGCGGGACAGTTCCTTTATTCGAATACTAATAACAGAAAGCTTAACAATTTATTCATGGCAAATATGTGCGAAAAATGAAATGGGTGTCTGCACTGACATTCATTAAAAAACAAAGACAATTTAACTGCGGACCAAGACAATTTGCTTAAAACCAGGACAAATCTTGAAAAACCAGGACGTCTGGCAGCCCTGATCTAGCAGCTCCTATACCCAAACTTTTTTTTTACTTTAGTATCTCTTCTTCTTCTTTATTGACGCTGTAACCGCCTAAGCGATTTTGGCCGCGTGCAAAACAGCATGCCAGTGGGAACTGGCAATTGGAACTGCCAAGTGAAGCCAAGTCCTTCTCCACCTGGCCTTTCCAGCGTAGAGGTCTTCCTCTTCCTCTGCTACCAGCATCGCGACCCGCCTTGAATACTTTCAGAGCTGGAGCGTTTCTGTCCATACGAACGACATGACCTAGTCGGCGTAGCCGCAAGTATCTAAGAGCTCCTTACTGCCTAAATATTTATTACTTGAATATTTAGACATCTCCAAATACTACAAAAGTACTTAAGTATGCCCTTTCACAGAAATAGGCAATATTTGCAGTTTAAATATATTATCTGAAAATGAATTTTGAAGTTAATCAACAATCTATACCTAAATAGCTCATCTGAGATTGTGCCTTAATCTTAACCTGAAACTTAATCTTAAATTTAATCTAAATCGCAATCCTTATCTAAGTCCGAATCTTAACCAAAATTTAAATCTTAATAATAATTTTAAGCTACATATACCTTAACTTCAATCTTAATCTAAATCTTGCCCAATCACCCCCACAAGGCACTTAGGTTGGTACTTGCAAACCCGTATAGTTTTTACGAGTATTTAACCAAAAAATCCTTTTTAACTAAAATAAAAAAAAAAATATTGTCCATTAAAAAATGTGTTAAATTAAGGCCATATATAGACAGGTAGGATTGTTTGGAGATTGCTTACAGGTTTTACATATATTCATACATACGTATGTATGTATGAAGGTATTCAGCGTGCTAATAAAAGGGAAGTTATCAGCATTGAATGAATGTCAGCGATACTAAGAGGGGAATTCGTTTACCACGAGTGCTTAAAAGCTGGAAATAAGTACTTTAACTAATTCCCAAAGTATCATTTCAAAAGTAAGGCCAAGTATAGACGGGAGAAAGCAAATGGTGTTCAATAGTCAAAGGAGATGAAAATGTTTTTCAAATACAGAATCTTGAAATATGAATGTCAAAATAGAAAGAATCAATTACAATGGCAGCTAAGTTAAGTAAATGATACTACTGATAGATCACACAAGAAAGGAACAACAAATCGCGAACATTAGAACCACCGAAAATCAAATATTTGCACTCGTGTCACTTTTCTGTTTTGCTTAAATGCCATGAAGAACAAATAGAGAACGAAGCAAAAAGTTAAAGGCAAATTCTTTGATATTTGCAAGAGCAACAATGCGCTCTCGTACTTTGCTCCACCAATACTTTTGCAATTGTAGAATTGTGCATGCAAAATCGCTTTACTCGCTTGTGCACTTGTCGCTGTCGGTATATTCATTTTATTCTTTTGCATCGCACAGTGGCATTGGTGTAAATGTTTATTGCTTAATTTTTTTTTTTTTTGTTATCCCTTATCCGTAAATTTTGTAAGATTTTGCAAAACAGAGGTCACAATACACTGAGAAAAATAAGAAATTAAATCAGAGCACAAATAAGCACAACTTCACAGCTTTGACGTTTACGTATTCGTATTTGGTTACAGTTACCAAATCTTGTGTTGAGAGAAATATATTTGATTGACTTTTCTCTGAGTGTAGAAACACCACCCCTTAGGATGCCGCCTTGGTCTGATATTTTCTGCTAAAACAGATTTCTTCTAGCATAGAATCGTGCTTGTGCTTCTTTACAGTCCTTGTCCTATACAGTTCCGCATTTTAACAAGCTCTCCTCCTGTGAGCGGGAGTAAAGTCAACGTTTGAAATTTATTTGAAGTGATATATCATGGTACTCGGTATGTAGTGTTTTGGTCACCAGGCTACTGAGGCATAAGCGACAATCGGACGTGGGTATTGCTAATTAAGAAATAACGTATAATTCTTGTCTTTAGAGACCTAGGTACTTATGTATGCAGGGCCGTTGGAACAAAAATCGGGTCTCGGACTGAAAAATCGCGGGCACATAAATTGCATTAATGTAAAAGCAATTGAGAGTTCTCCATGCAGGGTTTCTTTAACGTATAAAAGCATATAACGAAGGAGCAGTTTCTAGTGGAAATATCGCAATTTTTTTTTAAATCCCGGGCCCGGGGGAATCCCCCTCCCCCTCCTCCTCGACGAGCATGCATGTATGTCCAAGGAGTAGTAGCAAAGTGCTCTATGTAAAATTTTTTCGATTTTTATTTTTTGGTGGTTAGCGTACCAGTATTTAAAGTAGTTTCATGTTCACTAACAATACAGTGCAAAATCCTTATATATTCTGAAAAAATAGCATCAAATGTTAGCTACTCTAGCAAAAGTCGCTATAGTACTTACGGTATGTATTTGTACACTTTCAAAAGTCGCTATAATATTTATTGTGCGTATTTATACAAGTATAAAAGTATCCATCTTCTGATGAACCTAGAAAACTGCATGAAAACGTGGTAGTTTCGGTTCCTAGTGAAAGACGTCGTAAAAAAGAAGCAGATCTGTCTTCATGGAAGAGAGAATGCGAAAAGCTAAAAAAAGCTAGCTATGTAAGAGTTACTGTTTCAAAACTCGCTATATTAATTTTTTGTATATAAAATTTGCATAAACTACCATACTGCGATTTTGTGTTTTAATGTTATTAAGCTCTTATTTATCAAAGTTGTCAGATAATAAACAAAGATACAATTTGGATTATACCTGTTGTTGTAGACGTCTTTTTCTTTTAATTTATGGCTTACTTTTATAAAATCACATCACCCTTTTTCAAGTGGACTACTCATATATGAATTATGTACAATTGATTTTTAAGAAAAAAAACCGACTTCAATGCTGATATAAAAATTTAGGAGTACCATTAATTTCTTCACAAACCAATGACCGGGTCTTAACCAAATTTGTATGGCACCACCCTTGTGATAAAAACTGTTTAAATGGTCCAAAGTTATCCGGTAACTTACATAAGAAATTTAAAAAAAATCAGATGAATTGATAATCTTTTCCCCTTTTTTTAAGTCGGTTAAAAATTAAAGACGGCATGTTTTGGGAACAATTTTAAGGCAAAATTACTTTACCATTAGGAAGTTTTTACTAGAAACACGGATTTCTTTCCAGTGTAAACAAAAGTGGTCCCTTAACTTACTAGTAGAGAGAAAAGTTTTTAGAATAAAAAATAATAATTTTTACTTGCTTTGCTTAGTTAGGGCAGCCATGAATGCATAGAGTTGCCAGATTGGGATTTTTTTATTTGTTTTTGAGTGTCTCTCTAATACATTGTTTGCTTACGATAGCGCTGAAATCGCCATACCTATGTCTAGTTCTTATTAAGAACTTCTTAAAGCACACTGAGGTAATAGTTCTATTTCTCAATCCCAGCGTCTGTGCATCTTAAAAGGTGGTTACCCTATGAATATAAATAACTAAATTGCATGTATACATGTCGGCCGCTGTGGTGTAGTGGTAAGCAGTGCGCGCTTCCACTCCGCAACGCCTGGGTTCAAGCCCTGGTCAAAGCAACATCGCAAGAAATATAGAAAAAAGGTTTTTTTCTTAACAGCGGTCGTCCCTCGGCAGGCAATGGCAAACCTCCGAGTGTATTTGTGCCATGAAAAACAGCTTCTCATAAAAATACAATCGCCGTTCGGAATCGGCGTTAAACTGTAGGTCCCTCCGCTTTGTCAATGCAAATTCGATATTCGATCCAAATACATTTTACTTAGCATAAGCCTACCGTGCAGCGATAATATATGTATGTATGTATATGAATGTACGTATTTGTGTTTATACATACATGCATACATACATATGTACTACATACAAATGTAGCTCTTAATATTCTTATTTTGTTCTGTTTCCATTGCTACTGCCGTGTCTCTGTCCGTGGCTATACTATGATTGCGTCTGCCGTGTAAGCAAAGGTGTTTTCATGCCTTGGCGTCTCGTATGTTGTTTGGCTGTGTATATTTTTGTTGTATACACCACCCTCGTACAACTCCCCCTCCGACCAATGTTTTAGCTGTTGGTGGAATACATATTTTGTATTCGTTAGCTCTAGCATTAGCAGCACATCTTGTGCACTTGTACATTTGTGTTAGTGTATTTTTGTGTGTGTTGCGACTGCTACTAGCTCGTTCGGCTTGTGTTTTACTTGGCTTGGTTGGCGACTACCACTGCTCGTACTTTGGCCACCTCTGTAGGTGGTTGTTGTCGTTGTCGTTGGAGTGGCTGAATATAAATACCCATTGCTCTATGCCACAATGGCATTCCCTGGTATACGTACGCATGTACATATGTTTGTGCATACATATGTACATATACATACAAATATATATATATATATATATATATATTTACCACATAGACATTTTGGCTGTTATGTCTGCTATAGCATACGCTACCGATTATTGTTTGTATGCATGTGTTGTTGCCTAGCGCTATGTAATATGTATTATTGTTGTTCTACTTATCGCTTATAAGTGTATATAGGCATGAATGTAAGTATATATTCATACTCTAGTTGCGATTGCCATGTGGCTGATATAGACATACTGCGTATGTATGTACGTACTATGTACTATTTATGTAAGTATTTACGTCTGTTGTGCTCAGTGTTGCTGCTGATTTCGTGTGGCTGTCTTTTGTATGTGTTGGCAGTTGTTGGTTTTTCTCATACAAATATTGTACGGGTTTTATTTCATATGACCAAACAACACACGAACCAACACCAGTGTCACTAGTCGCTTCTCGTTACTCAGCAGTTAAGCATTACAGCAAGGCAAAGCGCTAAAGTACACTGAGCCGGAATAGAATTGACCAAGGGGCGAAGCAAGTGAGAACATCAATATAAAATAAGTAAACAGTAACAAGAACAAATAAGAGGGAAGTGTGTGAACTACCTACTCGAATGATATAAAAGGTGCCTGCTACTTCGTTCCTAGTAGGAGAGACGCGACCACAAGGCCTCAAGGCGAGCCGAGTAAAGTGTTTGGAAACATCGTCCATTGGCAGTATCCGTTCGTCAGGTGGAGCTATACTGCACATCGAGCAATGTGTTGATCGCGCACTGGGGAGCATCAGAAGAGTATACGATCAACGCACACTTGCATACTTGCATACTGGCTCTCACATATGTTAATAGGTACATACATACGTGTATGTTCGTATGCGCATTGCTAAAAGTGGGGGACGGCGAAAGAGAACGCCAAGCTACGGAAGCAAGTGGTTAATCACCGTTGAAGCTGCAGCTGCATACAGCTGTTAAACTGCACCTGCAAGTGTGTGTTGAGAGCGGCGCATGCATACGTTCGTAACCAAGCGATGCAACAATAATAATAACAATAACAACCGATTTAATGAGAAACAAAACAGCAAGTCATACTAGTACTGCACTGTAGTCTTACCAAAGCCTTCATTTCGTTGATTTGTCAAACTGCATACAGAGCACGAGTGGGTGTAACGAGAACGAGTGTGTCGAAACACGAGGTGGGAAAGTGAAGTTGGCGTTAAATAAATACAAATACGCAGTGAAGAACAACAGTACTTTTGATTTCGAGCGGTTTTTTGCTAGTTTAAAAGAAAGCAATTCCTCCATCAAGATAAACATATGTACATATGTAGTTACATCGGAAAAGAATTTTAAATCGTGAATAATTGAACGCATCAGTCATTTGTCCCAGTTTCTCAACTAAAAACCCATCGAACTTGCATTCAATTGACAGCCACCAATAACCAAATCGGCTATCATGACCACTAAACCGTCCAAGCGCGCCAGCAAAGGGGTAAGTTTTCCATATCAATTGTCGGCATTTTTTTTTTTAGTATTGTCTTACCTACCAACCCTACTCAACTAGAGCACCGTGCAAAATATTATGCATAGCTTACATGCGTCCAGTCGTGTCCCACCAAACCCGCACCAACTGTCCAGCCGTGGCCAGCACTTTCATACAAACCTAATCGTGCATTCGTTGCTTTATTCATTGTATGTACATTGAATGTGGGTAGCGACTAGAAAGATGGGTTTGGTGCGATATTTTCTATACTTAACTTGACAAGTATGCTGTGCTACAACAGCACATTTATCGTAAAAAAAGCACACAAAAGTCTCTCTGATATGAAAATACACAAGTATATATGTATGTTTGAATGTAATTCTGAGCATTCCATTCGAATACGTGTGCGAGTGCCATGCATGTATTGGTGCAGTGTTCGTTCGCGTGCACCTTCATTGTATTTATTTAACCACGTCAAATAACGCACGCATAGAGGGTTATTTTTATGTTTTATAGAACAACGAATAGAACCACAACAATAACAATGACAACACGCTCAAATAGCACTGAATATTTAAATATATTTACATACATACACCAAACTTGTATGCCCATACATACTTGTATATCTTCGCATTGACAACAGCCAAACAGACTCGTTGCCATTGCAACTGCCAACATTTACAGTAGTTTATGTCACCACTTGTGGCAATAACAGACACATACATCCATACATGCAAATGAACATAGGCCAAGTCACGCTCGCTTTATGGGGATAGCGTGCTACGTACCCCATACATAGAGGCAGGCCCTATAAACGTGGGCTATTGAAAATGGCCAGCTGAACGGCTGCGAATCACGAAATGTTTTTTTTTTTTTTGTCCTTATGAAAGCACATTCGAGGCAGCATTTGATAACACTTACTTGTGAATTTTGATTGAATTAACATTAGAAATACTGGATAATCGACATATGTACCTTGAGATACGGACAGGGGTCATTTTACCCAACCGGGAAGGTTGCCTATAAGGGCGATGGTTAAAGGGACAGTGGCCGCAAGAGCCACCTCTAACCCCTATTTTTGCATAGAATTCCTTTCTGCGTAGGTGGCCTTCGGTGGCACTCAGGGATTACATATAATCCTTACTAAGTAGAATTCTCCGATCTGTTTTGTCAAAGTGTATCTATACATATACATATATAATACGCGAAAGCACTTTTTGTGCAGCATAAAAGATCTCCGCCGTTCGTTCGCTTTTCATAAATGGGGTGTCAAATTATAACGCTTGGCCTGTAGATGTGCAAACTGGTTTTATTATTTCGAAAGGAGTTGCCACCTGTTAAATAAATAAACTCAAGTTATTTACTAATCAATGCCCTCAGATCCGCACCGTCCGTTCGATTTTCAAAAGTGAGGTGTCAAATTGAATGTTCAATAAGGTTTTACTTTTTGGAAAAGAGTTGCCACCAGTTAAGAAACTAGGCTCAAATTATTAAAAAGTGTCCATGCGAGACATCTCATCACCCAGAAATGGTTTAGATAAATTATTAAGAATAAGAATTTAAAAATTTAAATTAAATTTTGGCGTTTTAACGGGATTGACTAGTAACATTTATTGTGCTATAACTCCTTCTCCGGTATCCACAGTATTTTTGCACTTAACTTCTTTCTGCGGTGGAATCCTCCTTTCTGTGTGTAAAGGGTATCTTGTGAAAATGAATATTAAGCATTTTTTAAGCGAAAAAGTGCAAGTGAAAATTGTGCCCCTAGGGCCCCATAGGGGGTTTAGGCGGTCGGGGGTGGGTTTGTGTAAAATGGGGTGTAGAAGGTGCCACACCCCCACTCCTTTAGCCCACCGTCCATTTAACCATCGCCTACTCTTTTAAAATTACTTTTAATTAAAGAAAAACTTATATGGGCAATTCTCACAAACTTCGACACATGTCGGAAATTTTTAGTATACGTTCCTTCAGCTGCTGGAATACAAAATCCAACGTGGTGCAACGTTTTAATGCAACGCACCATACGTTTTTAACGTTCTTTATGCTTTTTTTTTGTTTTTTTTTTTAAGTGGAAAGTGGGCGTGGGGTGGGGTTTTAGTCCGATTCCGAAAGTTTTCAACTTATAGCTTTTTTATGCCAAGGTCAATAATTATACTGAGGTTGATACAAATTGATAAATCGGTTACCGAGATACACATACAGTGAACCAAATAAAAACTGGGACGCGACATTTTAGTAAGTTTTGGCTATTCTTCTTTAGTTTATTTGATGTTTATTATTTTTTTATGGAAGTATAGCTCATAACTTAACAAACACGATGTAAATCCAAATTTTAGAATTTGTGCAAAAATTATGAAAATTCTACAAAGTTTCACCAAAATGTCTAACTTCTTGATCAGCATCTTTAGACAAAATATTGGTAGTTAGTTTTGTAGCCCATTAAATTTTAGTATAACAAAGTGCAAATTTGAAGTATTCAGGACTTACCGCTGACTTTTAGAAATTTTTTTGTTGACTACATGCATATAAAAAAATTGTCGAACATAAATTGCCAAAAATCAACGGTAAGTCCAAGTATGTATCTACAGCCCAAGCTCTTTCATTTGAAACCTCATTTTCGAAAACCGAGCGAACGGTGCAGATCTGATCACAGGCTTTGGGTATTATACAGGGTGTCCTAGACCACCCGTCCACCCCTTCTAAAATGGAGGTAAATATTTTTGATTGAAATCCGCAAAAATTTTACCGACTAAATCGGGGATGCTCTATCGGTATTAACGACTTTTGGTTTCGACCGCAAGTGGATTAAACTGACCGGAAGTCCATTTTTTCAAATTAGATATGCATGGTTTTTAGTACAGATTCGGATTCTAAGGATAAAAATTGTTTAAAACTTTTTCCTCAGAAGCGCCGTCTTCAACCATTAAAAGACCTTCGAACTTCCACTCGTCCTGGACTTCTAAAATATACGAAAATATTTTTATTGGAAAACGAAAAAAATATGAACTACCAAGTCGAGGACGCTCTATCTTTTGGTCGTATTACCTACTTCCTGTTTCGACCGGAAATGAGTTATGTTGACCATTTTTTTAAATAGGATTACATATTTTCAACACTGATTCGGATTCTGCACATAAAAATACATACCTTTTGTCTGAAACTTTTTTCCGGTTTGGACCGGAAGTGGGTCAAACTGACCGTAAGTCCATTTTTTAAATTACACATGTACATATGTTTTTAGTAAAGATTTGGATTCTGTGGTCAAAATTACGCAACTTTTATTTGAATCTTTTTTCTCGAAAGTGCCTTTTTCAACACTTTTAGACGAATCCAGGACGAGTTAAAGTTCGAAGGTCATTTAGAGAGAGAAAAACATGCATATTTAATTTGAAAAAATGGACTTCCGGTCAGTTTAACCCACATCCGGTCGAAGCGGGAAGTCGATATTACCACCAAAATATAGAGTATCCCCGATTTAGTCGGTAACATTTTTGCGGGTTTCAATAAAAAAAAAATTCCTTTCATTTTAGAGGGGATGAACGGATGGTCTAGGACACCCTGTATATATTGTTTATTTTTTTTTTTAGTTGTAGTAAATATTGATGCAGATTAAGGAAAAGCTTAGTGGGATACCATCAACCCCTAAAATAGAGGATGAAATAAGGGCTGAGGGGCTAAAACCCAGAAAGTTCAATGAAAAACGTTATAATGTGTTTTCGCAGGAGGTGAAAACGATTCAAATGACTATTTCTGCAAGGATTAATTTAAATTTTTATCAATATCATAATGCTAAAGGTCATACATTTTGTGAACACGGTGAACTTCGCCTCTCATTTCAGCCCTTAAAGTAAGTAGAGTCGCTTTAGTTTTCCTTTAATCGACATAACTTGAACTTTGTTATTAAAAAATTTAAATAAAAATATTATTTAGCTATCTTTATTCCTTCTCATTATATTACATTTTAAACAAAAAAATGTGATTTAGCCCATAGTGGGACGTTTCGGTACGAGTTCGAAAAGAACACTCGTTTAAATTTCAAATTAACTATGTACAATGTAAAAAAAATAAACAAGTAATTTTTAAGCAAAAAACAAAACCTCCTCCTTTTTTGGAAGTGGGTTAAAAATAGGGGTATATTTTTTTCGGTGTAGAACAGTCCTAGGGGGTGAGAGCATAAAAATTCCGACTTTTTAACCGACTTCCAGAAAAGGAGGAGGTTATCAGTTCGTCGGAATATTTTTTTTTATGTATGTTACCGCTTAACTTTGGACCACGCCAACCGATTTCGATAATTCTTTTTGCATCGGAAAGGTAGTGTCTCAGAGGTCCCATACTAATCTGGGTATATCCGATCATTGGATCATGAAATATATAGAGATATATATATATTTTTTTAGGTCGGTTTTTTTTGCTAAAAATTACTTGTTCACATGCATTTTTGGACCACCCTAATGTACATACATGTAAAGCGCGAAACACATATCATTTAGGTCATATGTATTCATCAATTCAGTCCCAAATTTTGCGATTTTGTCAAGATTTTGCAAATCGCACCGATTTTAAATCGTACGATTTCCAGCACATATCCGTTTGTGCAAGGCGCTGCCTAATTCAACTCTAACCTTCACTAAAGCCCACTTTGCTGATTTTTCTAAACCTTAAATCAGATTTGGACACCTTATGACTATCAAGCTATCGATAGCGCTATCGATATTTTTTACCAACTATCGATAGTTGTCACCTGCTGACAATGTTACGCATTTCCTTTCATACAAAGTATGTTAGACAATTTTTTTATGTTGTAAGAAATTCTTAAAAATCAACAAGATTTTTAGCAACTTCAAACTTGCACTATGTTCTATTAAAATTTGGCTATAAACCTGCACAGCAATGATTTTTTCTAGAAGTTCTAATTAAAATGCTTGAGATTTTGAAAAAATTGTTGATTTTTTAATTAATTTTTTAATTTGTGTACAAAGATTTAAATTTGGATTTTTATGGTTTTGACTATATATACTGCTATACTGCTTTATGAAAAAATTTATGAAATGCCTTTCTATCGTTATGTGGCAGTCTGTATGTAATTTAAACCGCCGCCGCTGCACAGTGGTTCAAAACTGGAATTAACTGTTCATAATTCACTGGAGTCTTCATTTTTCAACCAATTTTATTAATTTCTTTTCTTTAAATGATAGCTTAAAAAACTAGCAAGAGACCAGTTGACCCCGATTTTTGAATTTTTGTTTGCTTAAATTAAATTTTTTAGTGCAAATTGGCGAAAAAGTTGCAATTTTGAAGAAAATCGATTCTCCTTTTCCAGTTAATAAATATAATAATAATAAATATAATAATGAAACCTAGTTGAAAACAATTGTAGCATTCCCCCAAAACGAAAAAAAGTTTCACTAGAAAAATTTTAAATGTTATAAAAAAAAATTTTACCAAAATTAAAAAAAAATCAATTTTTAGAAAAACCTTGGGTATGCGGTTTTATAGATCATTCAGATCACTGTGCGCCGGCGGCCGTTGTGGTGTGGTAATTAGCAGTGGAGGAGAAGCTCGGCCAAACACTAACATATGTATAAGCGCCAATCTATTATTATTATTATTAATAACAAGCCTAGAAGTTCATAATTTATATTCGATAATTTTAGTGAGCTTGAGGCCGTTTTTAATGAAAAATTATAGTGGAAAAACAACAACAAATAACAAAACACAAATAAAAGTATTAAATTTACATTTAAATACAATGCATAACAACAAAAATCCAACTAACACTAGAAATTTTCATTAAAAAAATAAAAATTTGATTTAATTTCGATAGTACCATCGATGGTATCCAATGCACGATTTTTTCAGATTTTTTTTTAATTTTTTCAGAGGTTGCTATTTAATTTTTTTCGCAAACTAAGGCCTGTTTTGTGAAATAAAAATTTAAATCTTTCTTATGCATTCGTTGTTATTGTTACATGGTAGTTTACTTGCTTATAAAGAGTACCAAGGAACTGAAATAATTTGATTTTAGTGAAGATAATTAGTTCAAATGACGTTTTTATTACCCTGAGTATGAAAATTCCGTCTATTGTAGATTCAAAGTTGTTTTATTTTTTTAATTTTAAGCTTCTATAAACACATATTTTTTCTGATTTTTATATTTTTTTGCTCAAAACTTTGCAGTCGGCCTTAAGAGACTTTTTACCGATCTCTTTAGGCGACAGACCTTTCGTTCTCGACGGGGTATCAGTTAAACTTTGCTCCAAATACACCGCTACACGCATGCCCCAGTTATTCCTTTATTTCAAATAGTAGAATGTCTTCTAATACAACTTCCAAAGATAAGGTATTATACCTAAAAAGGTCTGCCTAAGAGTGTTGATTAATAAGAGTTCCTCATTTTGCTGACTGATTTTATGACAGAACAATTTTTATTACTTTCAGGTGAAAAGCCGCAACGAGCGCAACATATTGACATTCTACGAGAAGATTGCCGTCATACACTACTACGATGAGACAAGCGTATCACGAAATCGCTTGGCAAAGCTGTTCCACTGTTGTGCCACACAAATTCGACGCATTCTCGAACACAAAAATGAACTGCTCCAGCAATTGGCCACACTCAGCGAGTCTGATGCCACCAACTTTATTGAAGAAATGACACGTAAGCGACGCAAATTCGAAATGAGCGCAATTAGTTTCATTCTGCATCAGTGGGTGGAACGCTGTAGGGAGTTGCGGCTGCGTAAAAGAATAACCAATCAGACGCTCAAGGACACGGCACTCAAAATGGCAGCTTTACTAAATTTGCCCAGCTTCCGGCCATCGTATAGATGGTTGGATCGCTTTCGTAGCAAATACAAATACACGGACGAAGATTTGGGCACGACCGACCCGAATGCGACGGACGGTGAGCTTGCCGTGGAAGATATCATCATCGAATTTAAAGACGCGCTGCCGAACTTCATGCAAACAGAAATTTCAACAATCACCGCACTTGATAAAACAGTGAATACAGAAATGGCAAAGAAAAGTGGTGAAGTGCAAGGAGAAAGCAGTGAAAATAGCGTTGATTGTGTGCTCAGCGATGACGATGAAGTGGAAGAGGGGGGAGATGGTGCCATCGAAATTGACGATGAAAATACAACGGTAGTGAGTGAGTCCAAAGACTGCAGTGCTAGTGCACCCAACACCAATGCAAATACTCCTTGCGCGACGAGCAGCGCTAATCAGGAGGAAAATACCGAACAAATTAAAATGAATGCAGGCACCACAGCGGTTCTAGGCAGTGTATTCCCTCATCTAGCTGTCATACACCAGTTTGCATTGTTGAACGCCGATGTGAAGGCTCTGGAGTTGATCTCACAATTGGGTGTACATATGCAAAGGCAGGCAATCGAGGGAGCATACAAACAGCTGACGCTGGCGTCAACGAGTGATGAGGCAAATGCAGAAAATGCGCAGACTGATGTTAATGGTCTATATGCAGCAGATCTTGATGATATTGTGCTGATTGAATGAAATACGAGTATTTCATATACACATACATATTTAGTAACTATTTAAATGCGTACATAGTTTGTACAGACATATGAATTACAATACAAGCGCTTATGGAGCGAAAACCATACGTTGCCCTTTAAATTGGAAATGAATGACCGCCTTAAAATTTTGTATAACAATACACACTTGTATCATAAGTTCTAGAATTAGTGTAATCTTTTTAATAAGCAAAGTGTGAATTTAATAGCATACCGAGATGAATAAGAAAATGTCCTTGGTTCATAAGAATAAAAGTTTAAGGAAATGAAGTAATAAATAAAATAGAATTAAAACAAAAATTACTGTGTAGTTTTGAGCTTTTGGCACACGCTACTACTAGATGCATTTACAGCTCCCTTCTTGAGTAGGTACACGTTTTTTCTCCTCGTACGAAGCTTTTGTAGTAAAGGGTAAGTTTCTGAGCAAGCTAAATGACCTCAAGCAGTTAGTGAAAAAATTGTCTGCTTGTCAGCCACTTGCTATTAATCCTGGTAAGATGAAACTCGTCCTATTCACCATGAGGTACTATGTGCCTAATGCTTAGTTTCCCACGATCGGTGGATGTCGCTTTATTTAAGCTTCTAACGAGTTGTGAGTTTGATACGAATCTTTTGAGTTCAAAGCCACCGTTTTTATAAATACAGATGACCGTCTTGGTAACTCTCAACGCCATATGTATGCACTCATAACACCGTACGTCAGTAAATTTTACTCACCACAAAATCAATAGTGGAATTCAATTAAATTGAATGAGCGTGTGATTTGTTGGTGCTGGCGGTACAATAAATACACATGCAACAACAATCACACGCTCGTCCAGATACACTTACGCAAGATACAACGAATACACCGATGCGAGAATTCCACTAATATACTCGCGAAAGAAGGGGCGTCGGGATTTTTCGAAAAGACTTTGAAATTTCAAAAAATATGATTATTTCTATAAAATTTTTAAAAAAATTTAGAGCAATATAGAATTAAAATATGGCTACTTAATGAAAGAGAATTGAAAAGGATACATTTTGTTGGTACACAAGGACGAATTAGTATTGAAAATGTCTTTTAAAAAATTTTATCTTTGGACATCCTTGAAAATTTGCAGTATGTATTATTTTTGAAAAAAATTACATGTGAAAGACTAATATTTATATACACGACCGCATCCTCGAATCATGTCATTCTAACTTTATTAGCTTAAAAAAATAAAAACAATTAAAAGGAATTTTTCGATTACTCACTAAAAACCTAAAAATTACGACAGCGTAAAACTAGTTACATTCTTCAATAAAAAATAGCTTTTAAAAGAAATTAGCAGCAAATGGACTTAATTTTCTGTGGAGTTTGTTTATCACGTCGTAAAGAAACAAAAACGTTGGATAGCGTCCTCCTATGTTAAGGTAGCGATATGTATGTTGGATTCATTAGTCATTGAACTGAATAATAGTTTTCAAAATTAACTCGTCTATGATTTTCAAGTAAAGGCAAAAGACGAATAATAAGTACATTATTAAGTGCGTATTAGTGAGGTGATGAAATGTTCACTAGCTCATTGTTGTAGTTCCTCTTTGCTTAATTGAGTTACCAGCACTACAAAACTGATGCTTGCTGCTTAGCACTTCGTACATATTGACACACACAGGCAATATCAAATCTTTCAAAATAATAATACTGAAAATTGGAAAGCTATCTCCAGTGCGTCAGCTATAATTATGACTGAATTACGACACAGATAACCTTAGGCGTCAATCCGTCCATTATACTGATGGGTTCATTGCCCTATATCACTCCTATAAGGTAATGCTTAATCGGTGGTCCCGTAGGAGCGATTTTGGGAGGAAGTAGGTTATGTTTAGTGGGTTAAGGTCTCGCCCTTCAGCTTTCCATGATTCCCCCTGCTTCAAAAAAATGAAAATTTTTTATAGAATTATACTTCATACTGAAATCCATGCGGTTAGGAAAATATTTTTCAGTGAATGAAAACACTCAAACCTAAATGTTTGTTGGGTACTGTGACTCAGTATGTACATATGAATATATGTATATACATACATACATACACTACGTAAAAAAGGAGAACATCTCAAACAAAAGACTTAAGATACAAACTTTTTTCGTAATTGAAACAGGATCATGAGGAACAATTGGAAAAGTGACGAAAATTTAATATAAATATGTATGCAGAAAGTCATTATCAAAGCCAATGGACCTACGTGATACAATACTACGAAATTAATTGACATACATACATATTTGATTTCTGCTGAACGAGTTCAGACCATTTAATATCATTATCAACTTTAGCAACCACAACTCCTATGTACAAATGTATGTATGTATGTATTCTCTCAGTTCTCACTTAAAAACTCGGCATTATAATTACATATCGTCATTTAAAGTACAAAACCGCGTATAAACAAAATGCAAAACCGCGTATCAAGATGTATGTGAATTATGTAAATTATCTTCTAGAGAGTAAAAGCATTCATATTTCAAAATGGTTCTCTTTTTTATAAAGCAATCGCACACCTGGCCAGTATATTTCAGAACGAATGGATAAGGATTGAGCCAAGAGCTGGTGTGAGCAAATCGAATTTTTGGCAGCTAATGCCAGTTACGCGGTTTTTCGGAATGACGACACGCGGTTTTGTACTTTAAATGACGATATGTGTTTATAGATAAAGTATTTTATTTAACGGAATTATAGTTAATACGGAATGATACATCTCTTATTAGTGTAGTAAAAATATGACACTTGATTTCCGACTCTCAGGGATTGGGAATCGCTACTATCTTGAAAACAACTTATAGGTACAGCCATTTTAAAGCCCATTTCCAACAAAAGCTTAACTGCATTTAAGAGCTGAGGTAAGTTCCAAGAACTTAAACATGGGGTTATCGGAGAGGTTTATTATTAATTTTTTGCCTTTTTAATTTCGTTTTCTTGTACTTAATACAAGCAATTATCCCTTCGAATTATTATCTCCCTTTTCCAATTGTTATAAACTTCAGTTACAGCTTGGTGGAAATGAACTTTAAGGGTCTCAAACAAGCTATATAAACCCAAGAGTATTGTGATAGTCAAATTCCAAAAGGACTACCCCATCACAACTATTTTTTTTAAGTCAGCTAAAGTTTCTATTGTTTACTGATAAATATAAAACTATTAAAATCGGTGTTTGTACCACAAAAACCAAATAAATAAACAAAAAATCCAAATAAAAGATATACTTGAACTAACAGCAGTCATTTTATCAGTGCCCAAATCTATAAAATAGATAAATAAAAAATATAGAGTGCTCACCTTTTTACTAATCATTTTTATAATAAAACAATTAATTTAAAAACAGCAAGTAATTTTTAAGAAAAAAACACAACCGACTTCAATTCTCATATAAAAATTTAGGAATACCGTTATATTTTTCATGATCCAATCTGTGAGACATTACCTTTCTCAGAGAAAATGTAAAAAAAAAAATTACCCCTGCACCATCGAACGGCTAAATTTTTTGTGGAAATATTTCTTTCCATTTAAGTGATATACGTTCTAAATATGAAACAAATCGGATTATAAATACGGAGTTTTCAAATATATCTACATCGGGCTCCGAGCTAAGTTTGAAGTTTCAAGTCTTTCATCGGAAAGTTTTTAAAAATTGATTGCAAGATTTGATTACACACAGGAGAAACATAATCTACCTTATCCTGAGTTTCGGCCGAAAAAAAAATTCACCCGAAAATTTTTCATCCGTCCATAGTAAATACATGGAAACCAAAAGTGAAAATTGAACCGGATTGGGGAATATGAAACTCAAGATATGGCTGTATAAAAGCTTGTAATAAGTACACTTTTTTGGGGATTTTATAGGTAGTGAAGTCTTTCGCATCCAAGTAGAGTCAAAATGAGACACTTGAGCAATGGTTCTCTACCTTTTATTACCGCATACCAACTTTTAGCAATGTGTTTCAAGCGCTTACCATTGGACGCGTTTTAAATGGTACTTTCATGACAATACCTTCAACAACCAAGCGAGGCTGATCAACTTCATTGCGGCACGGACAGTAAATATTAGTTAGCAGGAGCAGACATTAGCATCGTATCAGTCTTAAAGCCATTTGTACAGTAAACAGCGTGCGCAAGGCAGAGCAGCGAAAGTTTGATGTCGAAAAGGTGCAGAGATTCTTCTGTTTGCGCCAAATACCGTGAAAGACTGAAATTTTTCATGAATCAGCTGATTGGGCGTTTCCAATGTTTGTTTTATCTATTTTGAAGCCGCTTTTGACAGTGCAAAGATAAAATGGCTCTTCGACGCCTTGTCTGAATTTGGGAAGCCCGCAAGACTAATACGGCTATATAAAGTGAATTTGAGCACAACTTTTAGCTCCGTCCAAATTGGGAAGGACTTTCCCGCACCGTTCGCGACCAAGCGATGTTTGAGTCAAGGAGACTGACATTCGTGGGACTTTTTAAATCTTTTTTTGGAAAACGTAATACGAGCTACCATTCCGAATTTCAAAAGAACGAGGCAGTTAGCGTATGTGGGTATCGTTGACATCGTCGACTTCAACACCAGCATGCCAGTGCAGCATTCGCTAGCTTAGAGAAGGAACTAAAACAGTTTGGTCTAGCAGAGAGCGAGGAGAATACAAAGTTACCACCTACCAACAAACAAAGAGTGTTCGCATATTGGGACACTGTTGACAATTAGAATTTCGAAGTAGTGAAGGACTTTGTCTAAATGGCATTCGGCACAAGCACCGCCAATAAGATCCTTCGACTTGGCAACCATGGGTCCACAACGAAAGCAAGGGTGTCCCCGAACCTGAAGGAAGAACCGACCAAGTTAAATATTGCCTGTCTACACGTGGTGTGACTACATGGCTGAACTTCGCAAAGGAAAGAAGCAATGAACTAAACCCACAAAAGATTATAAGGTCATATAATAAATTTCGTTGGTATTCGACTAATTCGAGTATTCGTCGAATGGTCTTTGGTTTAAGTGAGTATATACATACATCACATACAGGTAGTACATGCTGATAATCACACACTCCAGCTTGATCTTATACATACTTACATATTCATACCTGAGTGGAAGATCGACTTATCTCGGCAGCCAGTTCGAAAACGTCCTATCTCAGAAAAATTTTTAAGAACGCCCAATTTCAGAATTTAATTTAAAAGCGCTCTATCCCAGCTGCCGATTCAAATCAGCACATTTTAAATGTATTTTCAGTTGAGATAGAGCGTTCTTAAGCCGAATTTAGAGATAT